ATGGATGTATATTTTACAAGATATGGTTAATAATTTAACTGAGCAGAGGAAATCTGTGAAATAAAAGTGAATTTGAACTGATTTAAATAAAATCTAAAAAAGTGTAATTTAACAGTCAAACATGGTAAAAAATAACTCATTACTGTTAAAATACACAGATTATTGAGGTGAACTTTTGTGGTCTATTGTTTGCTTTTTACAGCCAACATGCAAATGAATGCGTTTTACTGTATTTCTTTTTTATTTTGGTCATTTTCTAAACTCTCACAGCGATCGACCTGCATCAGATTCTCCAGACCAGAGCAACACTCTGAGGAGACTCAAGGCTTCTTGGCAACCAGCTTCTGCACAAAAGCAAGAACCTCTACACAGGTAAAAATACAGTGTGAGAAACTGTGTAAAAAATAAAAAAGCAATACAAAAATCCGTCAGAAACATCCATCTATCCATCATGTATGCGTGTTTTAACATGTCGCCGTTCTGCACAGACATCAGGACTCATTAAGTTTCTGTATTCTCTGATGTTTTGCTCTTCTGGGTCTGACATACGTAGGAGCTAAAACTAAAGTGTGTTCAATGCATGCTTCTTTTTTTTATCTATAATTTAACAAAACAGAAAAAACAACCCTCTAACATAACAGTAAATTGTCGAATAAATTCAAAAACAACCTTCAAAAATGTTCAACAACTTTATTTTTTACAGTGCAGCCTGACAACAGACACAAAGCTGCTTGCAGTCACACTGCTGCTGTTTACCAGGAGGATAAATGTGTTTTACTTTTCATCTATATGTCTTTGCCCTCCTTTCTGTCTCCTGCGCTGTGCCAAAAACGGCATCCAGCGTGCGGTTTCATATGGTGTTAAATATAGATGCCCAGGGCAAAAGTCAGAATAACCTGAAATAATTGCAGCTGGATAACTCTGAATCATCATTACCAGCCGTGTGGTTAATTCTAGGGCGAGACGAAAAGAGCGTGTCTCACACTGAAGCGTACGCAGCTCGCAGTAAGCTGCTTTAGCACCTGTGATCACAGCGAGCCATTGCTCAACAACACCAGGAGCTAACACCTGGCGGAGTTGGCATCTGCAGGGAAAGGGGGTAAAAAAAAAAAAAAAAGAAAAAAAAGGGAACACAAACAAATGGCTTTTGCCACTTGTGTGCAGAAAGCTGTGGCTCACAATACTGTGTCCAGGGATTTTCTAAATTACCCTCTTGCTGAGTTCAGTCACAGTAAGTACTTTGAAAAATCATAATCGGGTCCCCGAGCAGCCCTGGGGGTGGCCGAGGAAGCACTCTGTCTTGCTTTTCCTGATGTTAACTCTCCTATTATTAACTTTTGTGCAAGGTATCACATTTTTTGGATAAGAGGGAGAAAGCCAAAAGGAATCTGAAAATCACGCTGAGAAATAACAGAGGCTATTACCATGGTGCATTATTTCCTCGCGGCCCCGTGGTCGTTCAGACGGGCCTCGGCCATTCGCAGGGAAAAAAAAAAAACACATTACAAACATTAAGCACTCCTGCTTTCTCTCCACGAGGCACTGTCATTTTCAAGACGGGGACATTTGCTCGGTCATGCTCTCTCATTCTCTCCCTCGACTTCTGCTTTACTGATACTGTCATTTTGGAAACAACATTTGCTCAGTCACTCTCCATCACCTCCCCCCCTCTCCTCTCTCTCCTCCTTCTGTCCTCCACTCATTCTTTTCTCACTCTCTCCTCCTTCTTCCAACACAGGCACAACACACTGACAAGATAACGTGCAGCACTTTCAGTCCTGTCTGTGTAAAGACTTAGCACAGCCAGTCGCGTCCTTTTCTATTCATGTCAGGCACCTTTGAATAGCATGAGGGAGGGATTACAGTCCATAGCCTCAGCTAGAAAACAACAATCCAACCAGAAGAGTGCTGCAAAAGCAAAGTGTAAATAACATGCAGCCAAAATTTTAAACCCCTTTAATGATACCAGGAGGGGAAACACAAGAAGGCCGGACAGCTCTCCACATGTATCCAAATCACTGCTGCACTCCAAACCCTGGCAACACAAGCACAACACGTGTTCTTTAAATCATTTTAACAAAGGGCTATATTCATTCCACCTTTTTGTGATGTGGAAAGCTATAAAAAATCCTCTCCTGGAAATCCTGTGCTTGGCTGTGTTGTCACTGGATCGTGCGTTTTTACGCTCGGCCGCATGGTGGCGACCTGCGCTGCGCTGCGTCCGACAGCAGCTTCCCGGCGTTACCTCATGAAGAACCCGGGACTCGTCCTCATCCGACGCACACCGGCAGCCGGGCTCTCCTCCGCGGCAGGCTCCCACCATGCTACTGTGACTGCGTGCGCGTCGCTCCCTCCTCGCCGCCCTCGTTCGCCGCTCTCCGAACTGCTCAACTTCTCCTCAGCACCTGGATCGCCGACCTTGACAGCGCGCCGCGGAGAGGAACTTTACAGAGGAGGAGGGTTACGGAGAGGAGAGAGGAGAGAGTGCGTCTCTGTGTGTGTTGGTGCTCCGTATCTGGCGCTCCTCTCCAGAAAGGAAACGGATTCGAGGAAAAAAAAAAAAAAAAAAAGTCTGCTTTGGAGAAAGCTACAAAGCAGTCGGTCGCGGGCAACGGCGAGGGGAGGCTGAAGTTTCAAGTAGAAGAAGAAGGAAACAGCGTTTCAAGGACGAGGGTGAAGGAAAAAGTATGAGGAGCCGCTTGCTGTCTTACAGGTGCAGCGACAGATTGGCTGTTTGGACTTAACCTGGATTCGTCTTGACTGAGTTGCATCCGTTTTCAGTGAAAACACACGCTGCTTTGGAACCGAAAGGAACATAATATTTTTTATTTTTTGGGGGGGGAGGGAAGGATTTGTGGAACTAGAGCGGACTGTAAAACAAACACAGACTGTTTGACCGAATTTCTCCGGTCGCCACAGGCTACAGCAGCGGCACGGTTTCATTTGCGCTCCCAGGGCTCGGTGCGCTCAGCCCGATTCGACTCACACAGACCCGGAACAGCAGCAGCAGCAGAACCGCACTCGGACACTACAACCACGACCTCAGCCGGGCACTTGTTGTCCATTCTGCGACCCTCCCCCGGTTTGGGACCATGTTTGAGGAGTCCTGGAGCAGATCGATGTGGCGCGCCACATGGATTTTATTTTTTTCCTTACTCATCCACTCCACGCAAGCTCAAGGTAAGAGGGACACCGGCTCGGCACGGTGCCGATTAGTCATCACGCAGGCCCACTGTGGCGGCTGTGGCTCCCCTGCTGTGCTGGATGTTTATGTGGAAGCGTGTGGTGGCATCGAATCTGTGATGTCTCCATTATTCATCGCCTTTTGCACGTACGGTAGCCTATAATTTTCTCATTAGGCGACAAATCCTGCTGACACGCAGCTCTGTTTTGCGTAAATGTGGCACACATTAGTGCCATTAGTTCCCTTTTATTAAACATTTCAGTGACACGTTCCTCCACATTATTCACATCCTGAACTTCACATATAACTCCATTAAGTTCACATCATATTTGGTGCGTCTTCATGTGGCACCGCTCGAGTTTCGTGTTTTTTTTTTTTTTCCAGAGACAGCTGCTATCCACTGGTTCTTCTGCTTGGAACGTATGTAATTAGCGCTTTTAATGACATGTGTCATCAGAAGCCAAGCTGTTAAAATGTTAAGCTGAGTAATAAGTCCTAATTAATTAATCAACCCTCTCTCCCCCCGAATCTTAAGCTATGCAAATAAATAGATACACATTGATACGCGCGCACTTCAGAGTGTGAAATGTTGAAAATTAATTGGTTTTCTGAGAATTATGCAGCCTGAGCAGAGAGGAGCCAAGTGTGGCACTTTACAGGGGATCTGGTGACAGCGTTTCTTCTTTTCTTATCATTATTTCAGTTGGCACAGTCATTCTCAATAATCCCACAAGATCCCTTTAAAATTCCTGTGGAGACTTGGAATACCAAGAAAGAGAGTCTACTGCAACCTGGGGCACTCTTCCTCTCTATTTTTACCCCCATCACATCCCTGCAAGGTGTTTAGTCTTCCTGCTGTATTTATGCAGAAAACGATGCCATCACTAATTACAGTTTGTTTTTTACGAGACGACAGCGAGGCTGCTGTGGGAGGTGGTCGTCACATTACGATGAGAGACGAGGTGCATGAGTGCCACTTTGATCCAGACGTTGTTCCCATACATTCAGAACAGAGCGGGGACTGCAGCTCGCCCCACGGCTCCTCCAGGTTGCTCCAGGGGGTCTTTTAGCAAAGAACAGCTTAATTGTCAGGCAACTTGAAGGATGATGATCTTGGTTGAAGGTTCTCGTCCCTCTTGGAGCTTCTCACTGCACAAACTCTTTCTGGTGCATGTTCACGGTGCGAATGAGCAAACGTTGCACTCACTTGTTTCAGAGGTGGACACCATTCTGGCCACGGATGACATGCTTTGGTCTGCTGCTACCTTCTCCTCTCAGCTAGTTGGGATTCAGGTGTTGCTCCCGCTGCGAGGAGGGAGTATTACCTCTCAAGATAGACTCTAAGCCCTCGGTTGGGCTCACTCAATAATACAATGTAGAAAAGATGATAGAAAAAAAGAAAGAGGAAACAAACAAGGGAAAGATATCCATCATTCATGAGGGCAAATCCGAGCACCTGACATTTACAGGAGATTGATAACTGGTGTGTCTCAGGGATTAAGACTCCTGACACTGTTGTTTCCACTCTCTGCATAACCGCCTCTCTCTCCTGCTGTCTGTATCTGATTCTTTCCTTCTGAACGCCTGTTTAACCAAGAAAGTTGAGTGAGTCGACATTATTTACAGCAGCAGCCTGGGGAGACGGCTACTTTTCCTGTTTTTTTTTTGGATGTGCATGGGTGCATACAACAACAACAACAACATGCATGCGTGCCGCCGTGTACGCCGGAGATGAAGGCTGCCAGTCACTTTCTATCTGCTCAGTCCATCCAGAAGCAGCCCTCAGATTCCATTACGCTCCGCTCCCGGGTCAGAAATTGTAGGATTTAATTGGACTCTCTTCAGACCGTTCGGAGCTGCAGCTCGTTGAAAGTGACCCCAGTGTGGGCCGCTCTCTTTCCACCCGATGATTAAAGAACATGATGAGGCGAGCAGCATGCCTCTGGATGGACATGTCAGCCACTGCTTGCCACATTTTAATGACCAGTCCACTGAAACAGCTTTTTAACGACGGCAGAACAGCCTTCATCAGACTTAAGTGCTATCAAGTCTTTGCTTTGGGGGCCTGGTGAGCAGAGGGAGATAATCTCCAGCTCTTTTATTTTTGTATATTGTCATTTATCATCATCGTGCGCAGCAGGGAGGACGAGGGAAGCCTCGGCGTCTGACTGACGGCTTGAAAATATACACGAGTAGTAGTTTGAAAGCGTTCGAACTCCTTAAACACTTTCGCGGCCCCGTTGTCGGTTGTGAGCGCACACTTTGTTTTTTTCTCCTCCTTAAATAAAAAAGCCATCCTCCAAACTCGCCCGGCGTATTTTGTTTAAAGTGACAGTTATAAGAGCTGTCTGGTCTGTCCCACTGTTCATTCCAATTCATTTACCGAGGTCATGCCGAGACAATGCTGGGCTCGCCTGCTGGTTTTGTCATTTCTATCACGTCTATTTTAGAGCTCGGAGCAGCGGGGGAGGACTCTATTGGAATGTCATGTTTGGCATACATACTTCTGCATCACTCAACGTCTGCAGATTAGGCCCGAGTGGCTGCAGCTCGACTTTAGGAGCTTTGTAGGGACTTGAGGACTTCATTCTGTCAGAGGCGTGGCGCTCAGATTAACATCCATAACTGTGGTTATGACAGGGTGTCGGGCTGCCGGGACGCTGCCGGCATGAGAATCAGCTATTTCATGTTGTCGTCATCTCCTGCTGCGGGAGGATGCGCGACATGTTTGGATGCGGCGGTCTGTTTTTAGCTCGGACCTTGACACAGTAATAGAAGTCAAGGATGTCATCTCCATTTTAAATCTGTTTGGAGATTGGATTGAAATTGTCGGACTGGAATGAAATGCGGCGCGGCTCGGGAGAACCTCTTGACTGCTTCAGAAGGAAGTAAAATTGGATGCGTTCTCATCACGAGCGACAAAAATAGGGCACCTCATCACGGATGCGCGGGGACGGAAATTTTCAGTCAGCTGGTCGGCGGCTTTTAAGTGGCGAGATTAGATTTGTTGGGTTGTCGAGGTTTTCGATCAGGTTTTGTTTGTGGAGACAGCAGGTGACTGTAGGACTGTATTTACATCCAGAGACGCGGCTTTCTGTCCCCCTTTCGAAGCCGCTTTTTGATCGTTGAATCGTATCAAGCAGCAGGTACAAGTGTTCTTTTTAGGATTACTTGATGTGTTTGGTCCAAGCTTGAAGTGTAGTAAGCCACAGCAAAGCGCTGATTGAGATTGGAGTGTGGATGTGGAGACAGAGGGGTTGAGCGAATGTCTCCAGACTACAAATGTCCTGATTTGTCACTCATCTTAATTGACAGACTGGGGATCTCTGTTTCCTTGTAGCAGCTGTGCCCTGTGAAAATGATTTTCAAAAAAGACGATAAAAAGGCAAAAAAAAAAAGATGGAGGCTGCCCTAGATCCCTGCAGCCAGCACTTTGGCAAAAGGTCACAACATATTGCTTTTAGTATTCAGGGCTGGCGAGAAAACTCACGGTCAAAGTCCAGTGATAGATTTCTCAGAGGGATGTCTAGAGTTTCACTGTGCTACGTTCAATAAAACAAAACTTCCCACCCAAGGTCTCTGGTAGTGGCAAGTCCGAGAGTGAGGCGTAACTGAGAGACCTTTTGTTTTTCTCTCTGGAAAGCACTTCCAGAGCTCTTTGGAGTGGGACTGTTTTTATCGATCCGGGTTCTGGTTTCCCAATACCAGTCAGTCAAAGAGGTTAAAAGTGTTTCTAAGTGGGACTTTTTCAGTGTTCATAAATTTCCACTCGGATAATTAAATTTAGACCAACAGCATGCTAATGGCTCGCACAGCTTTACAGAAAAATACACACTGTTGACTGCTTCAGAGGTAAACACAAGTAAACTTGGTTTGATTGGATCAGTTTGTCTCCTGCTCGAGTCATTTACAGACTAAATAAACGAACGTCGCCTAAATGAGGGCGAAGGCTTGTGTTAATCATGATTTAGAATAAGTAACTGTCAGAATAAGAACCGTCGCTTGGAAGAGGAGGAGAGTGGTGACAGATGGACTGATCTTCAGCGACATTCCTACCATACATAAATACACATGTGCATGACCAGACGCATTCCATACGGACGCTTTAATCACGCTGACAGTGTCTGTTCCATATTTAGTTTGGCTCTCGCCAGAGGCGAAGCCTCAGGATGATTGTAAGGAATCTGAGGACCCCGTTAGTGAACTTCTCACCTACTGCCGGCCGTAAACACAGCTCAGCACTTTTCACACTCGCTCCCATGGATGTATAGACCCGCGTCTTACATTACATGCGTGCTCGTAATCGACTCAGGCTTGTTTGTGCAAGACCACCGTGACTATGGCCGAAGTGACGATCAGGACATTGTGATGATTTTTCACAATTATTCAATATTTTATTGCACTTTAACATTTAAATGAACCAAACGACTTCCCTGCTGTGCTGCAGTGCTGCTAATGTTGGAACGTTTGCATCAAAGTAAGACTTAAAATATCTCTTAGCTGAGTCCAGTGCATCTCTGGAGCAAAAATGTAAATAAAACTGCATCCTCATATGCTGAATATCTGCTTTTCAGTAGACGCTACAATTCACAGATGTTCCTTAAACGCCTCACATGCCGTCAGTGGTAGATGCTAGTGAGACATCTGTGCACAGAGAAGCTTCTAGTCTCCACTCGCACACTTTGAAAACAGTGAAGCAAGTTTTCTAAGGAAGATTTCCTCAAGTTTAACCGAGTGATGTTATCTCCATGGTTTCCTATAAACAGAGCATTTTAACATTGCGTTCAGTTGTAGGGAAGCCAAGATCATGTTTCTGATGATGGTTGATTCCGACAGCAGCGTTGAAAACTCCAGTAAATGTAACTTACTGTGCACGTAGAGCAGCGTGGTGTTTATGCATGAAGACTTTATTATTATTCTCCTTCAATAAAAAACTATTCTCTTCTATTCCCCTCATAATATGAACTGATGTGACAAAACGGTGTCATCATTGCAC